CAGGCGTTGTTGCGCAGTGTCATAACTGCCAACACTATGGCCACACAGCCCGCAACTGTTTTGCTCACCCTAGGTGCGTCAAATGCATCGGTGACCACGGCACGACAGATTGCACGCGTCCTAAAGATTGCGCAGATCCACCGGACTGCGTAAATTGTTTGACTACCGGCCACCCGGCTAGCTACAGAGGCTGCGCTAAAGCTCCAAAAACCCCCGCGAGGAAAGCACCCGCAAAAATTACGCTCGCGAAAATCGCGGCCCCGAAATCCGCGCCGGCGAAGTACATTCCCGCGCCCGCACCCGTCGTAAACGCCTGGGCGAAACCTCAGGCAGTCGCGCAGGTAGCCGCGCCTCCGGTCGCCTCACGACCGACGACATTCCAACCGCAGCCTGTCAAACAACAAGCACCGACGCCGCAGGTGCATTTTATTACACCGGTCGTTTCCGCGAACCAAGACGACCCTTTTGCCCAAATGGCAAACATCTGCAGCTTCCTGGAACGCATAAACCGGGAAGTGCTCGCCGTCCTATCTACAAAGTTATCGGCCGCCACATGTGGCACCGATCGACTTAATGCGCTCAACGAGCACAAAAAACTTGTAGACGCCCTTTGGGTGTTTACAAATCAACCATAAAGGTTTATAGTCCGGGCAATAAAACCGCGCTTCGCCACGTCGTTACCTAGAACCGCTACTAAAACTAAAATGGAAAGTACAACTGCAGGTAAATTAAAACCTCGGGCTCTGGTTGTTTCGTATTTTAACGCAAACGGCATTAGAGACCAAAGGGACGAAATCGCAGAATTCCTTCGCGATTATAACGTCTATATATTTCTAGTGCAAGAGACCTTCTTGAAACCTAGCAGACGCGATCCAAAAATCGCAAATTATAATATAGTCCGCCACGACCGGTTAGCTAACCGTCTGGGAGGTACCTTAATATATTATAAACGGTCCTTGCACTGTAGCCTGCTCGATATCCCAGAGCTAAGACATATAGAGGCATGCGCGTGTAGGTTAGCGCTCACCGGCCACAGGCCGCTTGTACTAGTTTCACCCTACCGCTCGGGGAATAAAACTCTTCTACAAAGCGATTTAGAAACGCTACTTAACTTAGGCCCTTCCGTGATGATTGCAGGAGATCTAAACTGCAAACACGGCTCATGGGACCCCCAAACTTACGCTAACAACAACGGTAGGCAGCTCTTTAACTTATCTGCCGATTTAAATTACAGCATAATCGCTCCTGTGACTCCCACAAGATATCCTACGGTGGACGGTTACCAGCATTCGACACCGAGTATTCTTGATATCATGTTGTTCAAGGACGTCTCCCTCGACATCGCGTCGATAGAGACAATCCAAGAATTAGAATCAGACCACAGGCCGGTCCTGTGTAAACTGGGCCAGAACGCCGGCGCGGTCCCTCCGACCAAAACCGTAGTGGACTGGCATCGCCTTGAGGTCAAACTCAAGGCCTTGGACCCCCAGCACATCGCCAACCTACCCGAGACGATAGCTACGTTCGATGACGCAAATCGAGCGATAGCAAGTCTTCGCGCATCTATCACTTCCGCAGTTGCAGATTCGGAATGAACAGTGAAACTGTCGGGCGACCGACGGTTTAACTTTCCATCCGACCTAAGACTGCTAATTAGACAAAAAATGCAGCCAAACGAGCTTTCGACCGATACCGATCAGAATCGAACCGAACCCTACTTCGACGCCTTCAGCTAGAAGTTAAAGATCGCGTATCGGAACACCGACATACCGAGTGGGACACTCTACGGTGGACCGCGTTATCGAAACTAGGGCTGCGCTTCCACCGGAAGGCGATACATTAAACTCAGTGACCCCCGAAGAGGTCCACGATATTATCAAAAATTTAAAACCCAAATCCGCCCCGGGCCCAGACAATATTAGTAATAAAATCCTTAAAGCTCTCCCTGGCCCACTTATCTGTTTACTGGCGACCATTTACAACACTTCACTCTCCAGTTGTTCCTTTCCGGACGACTGGAAAGAAGCCACGGTTATCGGCATTCGCAAGCCGAATAAACCAGCCAATCAGCCCTCTAGTTATCGTCCCATCAGCCTCCTCAGTTGCCTCCTCCTGGGGAAGCTTTACGAGCGGCTTCTATTAAACAGGCTCAAAGACCACGTGTTTTCCAATGGCCTTCTGCCGGCGGAACAATTCGGCTTTCGAGCAAGACATTCCTGTCCCGATCAATTATACCGCCTAACGGAACATATCCTAAAAGGCCTAAATCACCCTAAACATATTAGCACGAGGGCTCTTTTCTTCGATGTCGCAAAGGCATTCGACAAAGTCTGGCACAACGGCTTGATTTACAAGCTGTTCTCACTCAAAGTGCCAGACAGGCTTGTACACACCATTCAGGCCTTCTTGTCGAACCGTTCCTTTCGATATCGAGTTGAAGGTGCCCTCTCCACAAGCCGCCGCCTCACGGCTGGCGTTCCACAAGGCTCCTGCCTCTCACCCTTACTTTTTACGCTCTACACGAGCGATATACCAAAAGAACCCCACGTCAATCTCGCGCTTTTCGCGGATGACACGGCGCTCTTTTATTCAGACCGCAACCTTAGTCAACTAACCACTCGACTCCAAAGCGCCGCCAACCGCCTCGGCGATTGGTTCCGCAAATGGAGAATTGAAGTAAATCCCGAAAAGAGTGTGGCGATTCACTTCACACGAAGTACTTACCCGTCACATCTTTATAAAGGTCGTCGCCAATGCAGAAAGCTAGGGCAAATATCTCTTTATGGCCAACCGCTCCCCTGGGAGAAAAAGGTAAAATATTTAGGAGTCACTTTCGACTCGCGTATGTCATTCACAGCGCATATTAATAACGTCCGTAACAGAGCCGCGTTCGTCTCCGGCCGGCTAAGCACTTTAACTAACCAGTCAAGTAAGATGTCCTTAAGACACAAATTACTTTTATACAAAGCTTGCGTACGGCCAATCATGTCCTACGCATGCATGCTTTTCGCCCACACGCACCCTACTCGCTTGCACAAGTTGCAAGTAGTGCAAAATAAGTTCATCCGCCGCGCAACCGGTGCGCAGTGGTATCAACGCAACGTCGACCTGCACAGTGATTGCAGACTCCCGATGATTCGCGAATTTTTCAAAGACCTGACCAAACGGTTCTTCGATAGAGCCGAACATCATCCCAACCCTCTGGTGGTAAGCGCAGCAAATTACCAACCCGATCTAAACGCGAGCGTCAACAAGCGTCGCCCGCGAAACGTCCTCATCGACCCGGTCGAGGAAGGGGACTTAGGTACGTCGGACCCCCCCGACGGTGGGTCCGACGTACCTAAGTCCCGCCGGATAACACTACACACACAGTTAGTGTAGCAACAAACACATTAGTTCGCCCTCGCCTCCGAGCACGGCGAGACCAACACAACGCGTACACAAGGTACACCCGCGTTCCAGGGCGGTTCTCACCGCCCCCAGCCACCGATTAGCTATAAACACTGTCGACGGCCATCGGGGTCTCGGTCCGCACCGCTACTTCGATGGCCCTTAGATGACATGCCGTAGTTAAACGCACGCATGAGCACATGCGCGGCCCTACCCACAGCGGAGGGCCCAAACTCGTGGGTTCTGGCTAGCCCACTGGTTCTGCGTCAGATGAAGCTTTAATAGTCTCTGGACTGAAAGCACAAACATCAGTTAATACAAGATACAAGACACACTTTGTATAGCTCACTCTTAAAATTAAGCCCGTTGGATAACTATATGTAAGGTAATATAAGATCTTAAACAAGTTTTATCCTACTATTTCGTTTTAAACTTCACGCATACCTCTAAACATTTTATGTATTTAATACGCCATAACGCAGTGATCGTATTCCTATTTTGCAATTGCTCATACAACGTTTACGATTTGTAATATGTTTTTTTTGTAAGCCGTCTAAAAAACGTCACTTTAACAGCTCAGAAGTTACTGGGTAAATAATCTCAGAACGAGGAAAAAAACATTCGTTTTAAAATAAATACTCGAGGCGCGGTTATTAAGTACTTCACTCACTTGAGTTACAACGCCTCACAAGTTTGACGAAAATGTTTAGCTTATGATGTTACGGCAAAGTAATTCACGTTAACCATGCTGTGATTATGAACTACAACTAGTCCATTTTTTTGTAAACGAAAATCAAAACCGACTTCAATCAGAAAATTAAAAACATTGTTAATACTATTAATAACATTGTTAATACCTATAGGTTTCAATGATGGCCCTCGATTTCTCTGGGATGCCTTCATCAGATCCGGATTTCTTTATCACGGTACCACCCTTGGGACATCTTCTTTCCGATAAAAAAAGAATCACCAAAATCGGCTCATAAACGACGAAGTTATCCGCGAACACACATAAAAAAAATAATTTATATTACGCCGATTACCGTGCTTACTTTAATGGCACAAAATAATGAATATGCACAAAAAGCGTGATTTGTTACCTGGCCTATACAATATGTGAAAATAAGATATATTTTAGGTTAGGTTTAACGCTGAAACAATTTAGTAATTAAATTTTTTTGTACCTATTCAAACGTTGTGTAGTTTTAACAATTCCAGTCTCGGAGTTTTTTTAATATGTTAACACCTATTTCTAACATTTTATTTTCGGGCCTAGAAAAGATCGGATTTACCAAAGAAAAATAAGTTGTTCTTCGTGATAAGTTTTAATCTTTAATTTTTAATCTTTATTTATGCACAGCAGTTAAAGGGCGCAGTTTGATATTAAATTTTTGTAAGGTCTCTCTTCTATAGTAGTTTAACATATTAAAATAGTAATATATAAAATGGATTAAAATGTGGGGCCCATTATGATAAGTGTTATGGCAAAGAACAGTGAACAGGCAGTGAGGTTAATTTTTTTATTTTTCCTCTCAACTCTTGAACCCGATAATTATAAAGCTTGATCTTATGAATGAATATTAACTTTTTCTCCTACCTTTGATCACCAGAACATCTGGAATGGAAGGCAGCATCACAGTGAACGGCATGGAGCGCAACCTGTCCAGCTTCAGAAAGCTGTCGTGCTACATCATGCAGGACAACCAGCTGCACGGGAACCTGACGGTGGAGGAGGCGATGGCGGTGGCCACAGCTTTGAAACTGCCGAGCGCCACAACCAGATCCGATAAGGAAGAAGTGGTGAGCTATGTGATGACCGGGATCAAGCTAAAGTTTTCTTGACAGAATCGATGACGATGACAGATTTTTTATGCGAAAAGGTGGCAAACGAGCCGGCGGTTCACCTGATGTTAAGTGATAACCGCCGGCCGTGGACATTTGAAACACCCTTAGGGTTGCAAATGCATTACAACCTTTAAAGGAAGTGGGCCCCGGCTACCTCACTCACCAGACAGTGTAACACTTCTACATTACGCCGGTCTTCTGTGAGGTCGTGGTATTTACCCATTCGTGCAACAGTGAAAACCGTTGCGTGGCCCTACCACAGTATTATATTTCTGTTTAATAATTTCCAAATTAAAAAAAAAAAAAAACTTCCAACTCATATTCGAATTAAGCGTGATGAGTGGTCGCTGTCAATGAACATTATCCTTTGCAGATCCAAGAGATTCTCGAGACCCTCGGCCTATCGGAGCACCACAGAACGATGACATCGAACCTCTCCGGCGGGCAGAAGAAGCGTCTATCCATCGCCCTGGAGCTCGTCAACAACCCGCCCATAATGTTCTTCGACGAGCCCACCTCCGGGCTGGACAGCTCCTCGTGCTTCCAGTGCATCTCGCTGCTGAAGACCCTGGCGAGGGGCGGCCGCACTATCATCTGCACCATCCACCAGCCGTCGGCGCGTCTCTTCGAAATGTTCGACCACCTGTACACCCTGGCCGACGGGCAGTGCGTATATCAGGGTAGCACGGGGAGACTGGGTAAGTGGCACCACCGACGAGAGATGTTTATTTATGTGAAAAGTTGCTAAGCGAGCAGGTGGTTCACCTGATGTTAAGTGAATGCTACCGCCCATGGACATATGCTACACGCGAGGGTTTTCAGATGCCTTGACAACCTTTCGAATATTGAGCTCCGGCCACCTAACTCACCAGACGAAACGCGAAAATATTATTCTTCCACTTTACACCGGTCTTCTGTGAGGCCGTGGCACTTTCCCGTGCGGGCCTGCTCTTGAGACCGTAACTAAAACTTGAGAACCGTAAGCCCAAATGATATGGAACTTGACGCATATATAGTGTGTCGTTACAACCGCGACAATAAATGAACACACATATAGAGGATAACTTATTAAAATTGTATTAAACATTTACATTCTTTAAACATCAATATTTACCGAGTTATTAAATTTTCCAAATCAAACAATTTTAGAGCACCCTTACGTATAAAACGGTAACGTAAAGTTCATTTGTAAAGGTAACGTGTAACGTTTCATTGTTACGTGTAACCCACGTGCATTATTATACAAGGTGATTTTTAGACGAAGTACATGCTTTGACATAATGTTAATTGAGCATTCCATAATTAAAAAAAAAATGTTAATATTTTATTTTGTCAACAAAATATCAATTCAAATATTGTTTGTTTATCCCGTTAAGAGTGGTTAACCTATTGATAAGCGGTTTAGTAATTATTCGTTCAGCGAATAGTTTTAGTGCTCGAGAATAGGTTATGTTATTGAGACGGTAAGGCAGGAATTTCTAATAGGGTGTCCATTATGTTTGAAAAAATGAGGTCACAAGTACGTACCAGATTCGGATTTAGAATCAAATTCCGCATATGCTCTGTTAATTTGTCCGTCGTCTATAAAATCAACCTCTATATTTACCGTAGTAAAAATGATACAACATTGTCACCCATTTCCTATCAGTTGGTCGGGGCGTACCAGTTCTACCGCTACTATGTATAATCGAGGGTATTTCCTTCAGTGGAGTGGCTGGGCAGCCTGAGTCTGCAGTGTCCCTCGTACCACAACCCAGCCTCGTTCATCATTGAGGTCTCCTGCGGGGAGTACGGAGACAACACGGGGAAGCTGGTACGGGCGATAGACAACGGGAAGCATGACATCAGGTGCGTCTATTCTGCAGTGTGCGTGTTTCAGAGACTGTCGATTGATATGGTCTTTGGGTTATTGGTTGAGGGAAAGTCTAACTTACATTCTTGTCGAACATTTCATTCCTTTTCTATATTTGTAATCACTACTAGCATAAAACAGTCATTCTGCTGTCTGTCTGTCTTTATGATCTTTAAAACTACGAAACGGATCTTGATGCGGTTAGATCGAGTGATTGAAGAGGAAGGTTTATATGTATGCACCCGCGCGAAGCCGGGGCGCGTCGCTAGTATAAATATTAATGAATACATTAATGATAATGATGAGTCGGCGGCGCCGTTGCTAAGCTATTGGCTTCGGCTTCGAGGGTCGTGGGTTCGATTCCCGCACAGGACAAGTATCTGTGTGACCCACTGATAATTGTCACGGATATGGGTGTTTGTTTCCCAAGGAGCGTTGACGTCAGGCTGGCGGGCGATCGCGAAATAACATAGCCAAAGCAGCTTACAATATGATCAGCATGTTGTACTGATCCCACCTAGGTAAGATAAGGGCGGGAGGATGATGGTGATGACATTAGGGTTACCCCTGGGAATGAGTTGATCTCTCCCAAGCTGATTTAAAAAATGTATTAAATTATAACTGTTTTAATGTCTTGACAAAAAAGAGGATCTTTACGGAGTTTCCTTCGCCTGTTTTTTCACCGTTAGAAGGCTTCACCTCATTACGGAGGTGTGGTGGATTAAAAAAAATACTATTAATAGATGGAACGTGTGTTTCTAATGTTTTTTTTTTATGCGGGAAAGTGCCAAACGACGCGGCTGGCGACTCACCTGATGCTGAGTGATAACCGCCTCCCACGGACATTTGCAACACCGGTTGCAGAGGTGTTGCCACGCCGGTCGTCTGTGAGGTCGCGGCTCTAACACTGTTGCGTGCTCCTACCACAGGTGGTCATTTCGACGAATAAAACTGTTCTGTCTGTTCCCATCCCGCCCAGGAACGGGATGCCGTTCCCCGACGCGAAGGTGCCCGACTTCAACAACAAGAGGGACATGGAGGTGTCCCTGAAGCCCACCGGCTGGGACAGGAACGACCTCGCCCAGGCGCAGGAGAAGTTCGGCGGCGGCCCCGCCAAGGAGCCCAACGGCGCCGGCAACCTGCACAACGGCCTGCTGCAGTACGCTGCCAGCGAAATCGCCAAGGGCAAGGGTGAGCATGTCCCAGCACTCTCTTTTTTTGGTATCGTGAGGGGGGGGGGGGAGGATCTTCAAAAGATACCCTGTCACCTTCCATGACAGGGTTATGTGGGGTTCTTACCCACTAAAACCTTCCCAGTGGCCACCTTCTGTACGTTTGTCCCTCCAAATCCTCCAGGATCTCTAACGGAACGCACCTATCCCTCGGTAATTTTAGTCGCCTTTTACGACAGGCAGGGGATACCTTAGCCCTATTCTATGAGCCCGGGACTACAGGGCTGATCCCAGCACTCTCTAGGATATTTTGCGAGAGTCGAAGGTCGCGATCTTCGCCAAAATCGACCCGTGCGAGTATTCCTTAGACTCCAATTTTAAATACAAATATCTCTTTTCAACCGACTGCGGGAAAGGAGGAGGTTCTAAATTTGATTTTTTATGTTTGTTACCTCAGTTCTTTCGGCTGAGCGAACAGATTTTGATGATTCTTTTTTTCAATTGAAACCCGGTTATTAGTATATTATTGTTTATTATAATTTATAATTGTTTATAATTATATGGACATTTTAGGGTTAAATGAAAATAAAAATAAAAACGTCTTTGAGAAATAACATAAGATGTTTATAATTATTTATTATTTGCCCTTCATTATTTACTGTCATTGATCGTGCTTTATTCTTTTATTTTTCCTGCCTTATTGTACTTTCCCACAATGGAGACAAAGGGAAATTCAGACAATAAAATTAATAAGACGATCTTGTATCAAATCAAAATTCTCTATCAGCAAACCTTTGATACCTAGTGAGATATGTGTTCGTTACAAGTAATAAATAAAAATCGCGTTATTCATAATTATATAATCACAAAGATATATAATCGTTAAATAAAAATCATTAAATATTTTCAGGTATCTCTTGATATCTTTTTACACAGTTATATCTAGTCCTAAAAAAAGCTTTTATTATACTTAATAACTGATAAACCTTTTGTAAATATCCTTACTAATATTATAAAGGCGAAAGTTTGTATGTATGGATGGATGTTTGTTACTCCTTCACGCAAATACTACCGAATGGATTTTAATGAAACTTTACCATTATATAGCTTATACATCAGAATAAGACATAGACTATAATTTATATACATATTTTATGTATATCTGTCTTTCTGTCTGAAAGTTACGCCTTAAGCCTATTCTACGCAGACGTAGTCGCGGGCGGCAGCTAGTCTGTTATAAATATATAAACATCCAGACACTAAAGAAACAGTTTTGTTCATCACACAATATTTTTCAAGTATTTTCGAACCCATACCCTCAGACTAAAGGGGTAGGGTATTTAATCTAAAGGTATTTCACATAAATAATGTTATATTGGAATATAAAAATAACATTAAAAATAAATTCAGAAACACTATACCCCTTATATAGTGTAAACGTAAAATTTGTTGTAAAATGTAAAAATTTTTTTTACATTTTACAATCAATGCGCCTTCTTAAACTTCTCTGGACCACCCAAAGGTTGACTGGTAGATAATGCCGATGGTATTAAGTCCGCCTATGTACATATTTTGTGTGCATAAAGTATAAATAAATAAATGAAACAGTTCATATAAAATTGTCGAGCAGATTTTAATAGCCTCTTAGGTTGTGATGTTTTTCGAATAACTTCATATGAAAATGTAGAAATGGTAACGGTGGTTATTCCATAGAAAAAGACTTTATTTTAGGCATAGTGGGTTCGATTCCCAATGTATTTGTGTGGCCCTCGGATAATTGTTTTCGCATCTGAGCGTTTGGCCACGTGAAATATGTTTGTAAAACGTAAAATAAGGGCAATGTTACTTAAAAAATGTTAAAATAAATAACATTTTGGCAAAAATAAAGTCAACAGCGCTCGTACCTATCATCATTTATGTCTCTGAAACTTGGAAAAATACCTGTTAGTCTATTTTTAACAATAGATTTTCAACATGTAGAAAACAGGCACTGGTTTCAACAATACGGGTCAAGTGTCAACGTCAATACTAGTGTACAATGAATATAATTTGTTTTAATATTCCCTATACGACAGTATTACCGAGCTAAAATGAATTTTATTGCAAAAACTATAAGGTTTTATTTTGCGTTGTTGCATTATCAACTTAAATTTCCTGATCGAATCGACGCACTACTATTAGAGGCTATTGTTATATTATTATTTTATACATATACTAGTTGATCCGGCAAATGTTGTTTTGTGGAATTTCGTCAAATCCGTTCTTAGCTGACCTCTACTCGGCGAAAGGAATATTCCTACCAAATTTCAAGTCTCTACGTCTTATGGTTCCAGAGATATCGTGATGGGTCATTTATTGGTGATATCTCTTATATGTACATAGGTATTGCATGAAACTTACAGTTATTCCTTCTTTTATAGTATAAAACTTTAATAGTAAAAATTTATACTATTAAAGTTTCTTGATACTAAGCCGTTATAATGTACCTATAACGGCTCAGTGTCAAGAAACTTCAGTTACAAACAGAAGTTCTGGCGCTCGCTTATAATTGAAAGTGCTCGGGTGATCCGAGTTCAAATCCTGGCTCACACCAATGAAATTGTTCATTTTAAGTGTTGACTTACTAATAATTGCAATAATCAGCGGTGAAGGAAAACATCAAACACGTTTCAAAATAATAACAATAAAAATATTTCGAATATATGTGAAGTCCGCCAATCCACATCGGGGTCGCGTGTTGGATCTATCCCATGCCCGCTTATCTTTGTACAGAGGAGGGTTTTGCCCAGCAGTGGGACTTATACGTATGGGCTGATACGTTGTTTTGTACTGTCTCTCGACGTAGTAGACACTTTCAAGAGTCAGGACATTATTGATTTGTACCATAAACTATGATCAATAAAGATTGTTATTAGTATTCTATTTCATACGTAAATAAATAGTTTAAAAGTACTTTAATGAACCAGTGGCTAGGGCTTCTAGAAAATTCTGATAAAGCGTAATTGAGCCACAATTATAAGCGCTTATGTATTGTGACTCGCTTTTTAGGGTTTTCTTAAGAGCATAAAATTTCACTCGTATCGGGGTATTAGTAACAGACGGAAAATACGCTTAAATGCAATTACAAGTATTAATTTTATGTTGAAAATTCAAGTATGAAAAATATCACGAATGTAGTGACAATGAAAACTGAACGCGAAAGGCAATTGTAAACAAGAACACAGCAGTCAACCATAAGGATACCTTCGAATGGCAATAATATAAAATATAAAATATATAGGATGTATTTATATATAGGATGTATTTATGTGTATGACTTTAAATCTTGAGTTATTTTATAATACAAGTCTATGGAAGTAATATTATATCGAAGATTTTAAACATTATTAGTGAGTCTATTCCTTGGCACTTTTTGTACATATGTACATTTATTTTTTCATAATAAAAATTACATACATTTATTTGTATATAATTCATTTGTTTTAATTAACTTTAAATAATTCATAACCGGTTTCTTTTTCGAACCTGTTTCCGCGAGTAACTTAAAATTAAAAACGAGTGAATTTAAAATTCAAATTCACACTTGAATTAAAACTTGATGTAAACTAGCATTAAAAATAAATAAATTAAATAATAAATTTTAATATCGAGGGCAACAAAGACTTCATTCAAATATTCATTGCAAAATACTATTTGATTGGATCAAGCATATTGTACAAATAGCTCACTAGCTGGCTTATTGTAATTTGTAAAATTATAGTTTTTACTAATTATTCTTAGTTATTGAGATTTTCACGCTTTTTCGAGTGCTTATCTGAGCTATAGCGTCTGGGTGCATTATACAGAAGTCGGAGAAATGTAACACTTCTACTTTACGCTGGTCTTCTGTGAGGTCGTGGTACTCACCCGGACGGACCTGCCCATTCGTGCAACAGTAAACACCATTGCGTGGTCCTACCACATTATGTATTTATTTACATATTACACTTCTACAATAATATAATACTTAGTACTATGCTCAATGACCTCAACAGTGCCTCTCATCGGGTGGGCCTTAAGATGAACATGGACATGACGAAGATCACGTCTAATGTCCATGTCACGCCTATACAGGTTGTCGTTGGGAGCACTGAGCTCGAAGTTGTTGACGAGTACGTATATATAGGACAGTTAGTCTGGCTAGGTAGGTCCAACTTCGACGCAGAGGTCAATCGGCGAAACCAACTAGGATGGGCAGCGTTCGGGAAACTTCGGCAAATCTTCTCGTCGAACATACCTCAGTGTTTGAAGACATTGATGTATACTCGGCACGTAACTGTGGTAGGGGCTACGTGGCTCTAAAAGTTTCCGGAATGTATTAAAAAAAGTACTTCTAAAGGTCAAAAAGGTAGGTATAACATGTGGAGCATGTTGTGCCTACCCCAGCTAGGTGGGATAAGGGCTGGATGATGATTTATTAAACTCCTCGTCTATGTCCAGGAGAGCCGCTCGTGGTGCAAATGGACGGCGAGAAGCAGGACAACGTGGAGGAGGCGCTACTAGGTGACGTGGCGTCACCACGCCGCTACGCCACCACCGAGCTGACGCAGTTCTGGGTGGTGCTGAAGAGGACCCTGCTCTTCAGCAGGCGCGATTGGGTGAGGCACTCGCTTCTGAATTGATACGGGAACGTCAACACGTACACGTACACGCACACACGCGCACGCGTACGTGCACGCACTCTACGTGTGTGCACGCTGCAGCACAGGAGGCGTTTATTATTTCGAATTGCACTTTAAACTCATCATCATATCAATTTTCTCAAAAAACCGCTTTTAAGCACCCTCTGACAGATCCATGCCATCGGCTACATCGGAGCAATAATGTTTCATCTGGATTAAAGATACTAAAATTTTAAAAATAATTAATTTCAGTCTAGGGAAACTGAAACTCCACACATCATGACTGTGGTCACGTATTCTTAGTTTGCAGTTTCCAAGATTCTACCGAAGGCTTCGGCCGATCATGCTCGGGACCTTGGGTTCGATTCCCGCACAAGACCCATAGATAATTGTTTGTACTTACTACCGGTTCCACATGAAATAAAAATGCTGAATGTAACCTAGTACCTACTGCTTTTTATTTTTTGTTATATTATGTATAGTTTTTTTTTTACTTTTAAGTTATACTTCTTTATGCGCGTTATGAAAAGATGATGCGTAACGCAAAAGTCACACCCTTGAAGCCGCCCGCTAAACCGCTTATTATAGATGGCAGAATATTCTCAATCACATTCGCCCGTTACAGTTCTCAATAAAGAATTTAGATGTTATATTTTTATTTATATCCTTTTCCAGCCCTATTGTTGTTTCATTATGATTAATTGATAATAAATATTTTTTCGACCACACCCATTATTACACGCACCCATTGTTTTGTTTATTAAACGTGTACGGTGCCCCCCGCAGACCCTGATGTACCTGCGCCTGTTCGCCCACATCCTGGTGGGCTTCCTGATCGGCGCGCTGTACTACGACATCGGCGATGACGGCTCCAAGGTGCTCTCCAACCTCGGCTTCCTCTTCTTCAACATGCTGTTCCTAATGTACACTTCGATGACCATCACCATCCTCAGCTGTGAGTGTGGACGATATAGATGTATTTTTACCAAGCATATTACGTTCTTGGTAGCATTGGCGATTGCGGGTAGTGTACCTGCCTCCTGCGCCAGAGGGTGTGGGTTCGATCCCCACTACTGGAAAAATATTGTGCCATGAACATAGTGTTTTTCTAGCGTCTGGGTGTTAATATATGTATGATATGTATTTATTTACAACAGAAAAGTATGTTTAAGTATGTTTATCAGTTTTCTAGTACCCATAGTACAAGCTCTGCTTAGTTTGGGACTAGAGAATGTTGTGTAAAAATGTGTCCTAAAAAAATATTTATCTAATATGGAAAATTGAAAAAAAATATTAAAGGAATGTGTTTATCTTTTATGTGGGAAATTGGCAAAATTAGCGGGCGGTTCACCTGATGTAAGTGACGACCGCCGCCCATGGACATTTGCAACACCCGTAGGGATGATTGAACGGGATGGCAGTCAAGTACTAGCCAGTTTTTTAATAAAAAAAAAAAAAACGCCGTTTAAGAATGTGGGCCTCGGCTACCTCACTCAAGTGACGAAACGCATGAGTATACACTTCCACTTCACGCCGATCCCCTGTGAGGTCGTGGTACTTGTCTGGACGGACCTGCCTATTCGTGCAAACAATGAAAGCTATAAGTTATTAATTATAATATTAGTGATTATTTAATTCAAATGAATTGATAGCTCATATAGATTACATTTAATACTTTGTATACATACACATTTCATTGTCAGGTAATGTTACAAAATAATTGTAAATAAAAAAAATCTAAATATTTAAAATATACAAAACAAACAACTTGTTTGTTGATTTTAAACACTTACTTAGTGTTTAAAGTTTATCCAAGAAAAATAAATCATATAGTATGGCTTAAATGAGCAACATTAAATTGTACTTTATTGAATTTTTTTTTATACTTTATTGATGTGCGGCTCGTGTTTACTTGAGCAGCGCTGTGTAGTGTCGTCTCCAGTACTCTTGTAGTTAATATATTTACGCGTTAATTTAAATGATGTCATTTTTTTTATTATGTGTTCTTCTGTGTACCTTATAATATGCCCGCTTTCTCAGTCCCCCTGGAGATGCCCGTTCTGGTGAAGGAGCACTTCAACAGATGGTATTCCCTGCGCTCGTACTATCTGGCGATCACAGTGTCCGATATACCGTTCCAGGTAATTTTATATTCATTTTTTGTACCTTTATTTAAGACTTTCCATGAATGTAATTTTTTTTTTAACATTGCCCTCACTTTAGGATAACATTATCCTGTGTTGCAAGGACGTTTTATAAACATAAATTGCACGAGGACAAACACCCAGATGCGAAACAACTATCTGTGGGTCGCACAAATAGTTGTCCCGTGTGGGAATCGAACTCACGACCCCCGACGCCGAAGCCAATACCTTGGCAACGGCGCCACGGAGTCATCAATTATTTTTATTTATTATTATTACTGAATTTACTGAATTAAAAAAGTTGTGGAACTTCACTGAAAGTCCTGATTGAATATTTCAGTCTTAAGAAACATATGGTCCAATAGAGAAAACTCCTCCTATTTGAAGTAAAAAAAAAAATTATTGTTAATATGCTCTTGTTTTATAAAACAAATCAAAATCCCCTATTTTGATTTGTTTTTTAAATATATAGATACTTATGGAGTTTCTTTCGTCTGTTTCTTCTCCGTTAGAAGAACCTCATTACGAAACTGTGGTAGATTTAGATGTGGTAGAGCTAGATTTAGAGAAAAAAAAAACTATCCATAGATGAAATGTATATTTTTTATGTCGATAAATAATTAATGATTCAATTTGTCGCTGCCTTTGTCATGGTAGAAGCAATATAAAGCCCCCACAAAATTCGTATCACCCGAATGGTCGAAATTAAAACCCTGCTCGATGAAGAAACAATATAAAGAAAGCCGCCACCAACTTCGTATCACCCGAATGGTCGAAACTAAAACCCTGCTCGATGAAGAAGCAATATAAAGCCCCCACAAACTTCATATCACCCGAATGGTCGAAACTAAAATCTTGTCCGATGAAGAAGCAATATAAAGCCCCCACAAACTTCGTATCACCCGAATGGTCGAAACTAAACCCCCTCCCGATGAATCTGTTTCAGGCGATATTCTGCGTGATCTACGTGGTGATAGTGTACCTGCTGACGTCACAGCCGCTGGAGTGGTTCCGCTTCGCGATGTTCCTCTCCTCGTGTCTGCTCATCTCGTTCGTGGCTCAGAGCGTCGGCCTGGTGGTGGGAGCTGCGATGAATGTGCAGGTGATAATCCCATCACCACTTTCTTTTTTCTTATGTGTTAAGTGATAACCGCCGCCCATGGACATTTGCAACACCCTTAGGGTTGCAGAGGGCGCGTTGCAACCTGGTATTATGACCTGTTGCTTAAATTCAACAAATGTGATCATTGTTTAAAGTAATCCATTCCTCCATATACAATTGTTTGACAGATATAGTGCTCTATTTTCTAAAACAAATGTTGAATATCCAAAGACTTATTGCAGATTTTTCAATATACATATTTTCTATGTAATGTACTGTAGTCTGAAGGAGTCAGTGAATTATTCACAAAAGAGTAATATAATGTCCAAAGACTTAATGGGAAATTTTTTCCATATACTCATTTTCAATAGTATTACAGTAGTCTGCCCGAGTTAGTGAATTATTCACTAAAATAATAATTGAAAGCAAGACTTAATCCAGGCGCCTTTTCTAAGCTATTGGCTTCGGTGTCGGGGATCGTGGGTTCAATCCCCACACGGCACAAGTATTTGCGTGACCCGCAGATAATTGTTCCGGATCTGGGTGACGTCAGGAAAGCGGCTGGTCGTAAAAAACATAGCCATAACCACTTACGACATGATTCACGTGTTTTGTCGACCCCACATATACAGCGTGTCGTTATCACCGCGACAATAAATGGACACACACATAGAGGATAACTTTTTAAAATTGTATTAAACATTTATATACCGAGTTATTAAATATTCCAAAATAAACCATTTTAGAACACCCTTACGTATAAAAGTGTAACGTGAAGTTCATTTGTAAAGGTCACAAAGCATATGAATGGGTTGAATGAATTTAAAAGAGACAAAACATACTGTTAGAAGGAGAGGCTTGTAATGCGACGCTGTGGCGCGAGTAGTATAGGATGTTACAAATTTTGTTTCTTTTTTACTTAATTAGTTTCTTCGAAAAATATTTTTTTTTAATTATGGATTTTGTTTAACGTTAATATTTTTTATGATTATTGGCAAGTAGCGTTAGGCGTGTGTTCATTTATTGTCGCGATGGTAACGACACGCTGTATAAGGGCGGCAGGATGGTGATGACTTAACCGTGAGTGTTTCGCCCCCAGAACGGAGTGTTCCTGGCGCCGGTGATGTCGGTGCCGTTCCTGCTGTTCAGCGGCTTCTTCGTCTCGTTCAACGCGATCCCGGTCTACCTCCGCTGGATCACCTACCTTTCCTACATCCGCTACGGTTTCGAGGGCACCGCTTTGGCCACCTACTCCTTCAACCGCACGAAGCTGCAGTGCCACCAGGTGACGCATTCCTATGTGAGACGGTGCCAAGCGAGCTGGCGTTCCAGCCGATGTTGGCCCCCATGTAGGGTTGCAGATGCGTTGCCACCCTTTACTAAATTCGGCTCTGTTTACCTCACCTAACGTTCAATACCTCGTGCTTTGTTAAGTAGCAAATTGCATAAAAAAATAACTACGCTGACACAGACACATTTTCGTCGCTGTGGCTATCAGCCGTTTAGCTCAGTGGCTAGAGCGTCAGGCCGCGAATGCCGAAGACGTGGGTTCGATTCCCACAGCGGCGACAATCTTTTCGTACTTTTTCTACATGTTTTAATACGCTGACACAGATTAAACATATAACCAAACCTTCAGTAAGACTGTTTATTCTGTGTCCAGAGTAGAATTTAATTGGATAATAATGGGCATTAAGTACTGTTATCCGAATTGTTTAATATGCTGATGGGTACTAAACTGGATTTTTACTTTATTTATCCAAATAAAAACCATGCCATTGTTTTGTCATTTGCAATGGCATCAAATATGAGAGCGAGCAACTTAAATTTTCTTTATGGCAAACACATTTTACTTATAAAAACAACATCTCCAATAAATCGCTAATCACTTACGTTAGGAGATTTCATCACTCCGAACCACTAGGAGTCGTTGGCTGGTGTCAAACAACGTCTCCAATAAATTTCTAATCATTTCATTTATCTGTTTTCATTATTCCAAAGCCGTACACTAGTGTCCATAACAATGACCGCTTACGCCAACGGACGACATTATTTAAACTATTGTATAATAAATTGAAAATCTGTAAATCGTACAAAGTATTTACTTATTTAGTGTCATGCCTCAGTTACACACTCGTTTAATCGTTAACATAGCCACGCTATATCTTAAGACTAAATAAAGACATTCGTTCGTTCATTAATTCAACAGACCTACTGCCACTTCTAAAGCTGTTCATTCGTTCATTCAACAGACCTACTGCCACTTCTAAAACTGTTCATTCGTTCATTCAACAGACCTACTGCCACTTCTAAAGCTGTTCATTCGTTCATTCAACAGACCTACGGCCACTTCTAAAACTGTTCATTCGTTCATTCAACAGACCTACTGCCACTTCTAAAGCTGTTCATTCGTTCATTCAACAGACCTACTGCCACTTCTAAAGCTGTTCATTCGTTCATTCAACAGACCTACTGCCACTTCTAAAGCTGTTCATTCGTTCATTCAACAGACCTACTGCCACTTCTAAAACTGTTCATTCGTTCATTCAACAGACCTACTGCCACTTCTAAAGCTGTTCATTCGTTCATTCAACAGACCTACTGCCACTTCTAAAGCTGTTCATTCGTTCATTCAACAGACCTACGGCCACTTCTAAAACTGTTCATTCGTTCATTCAACAGACCTACTGCCTTCTAAAGCTGTTCATTCGCACAACAGACCTACTGCCACTTCTAAAGCTGTTCATTCGTTCATTCAACAGACCTACTGCCACTTCTAAAACTGTTCATTCGTTCATTCAACAGACCTACTGCCACTTCTAAAGCTGTTCATTCGTTCATTCAACAGACCTACTGCCACTTCTAAAGCTGTTCATTCGTTCATTCAACAGACCTACTGCCACTTCTAAAGCTGTTCATTCGTTCATTCAACAGACCTACTGCCACTTCTAAAGCTGTTCATTCGTTCATTCAACAGACCTACTGCCACTTCTAAAGCCGTTCATTCGTTCCATTCGTTCATTCAACAGACCTACTGCCACTTCTAAAGCTGTTCATTCGTTCATTCAACAGACCTACTGCCACTTCTAAAGCTGTTCATTCGTTCATTCAACAGACCTACTGCCACTTCTAAAACTGTTCATTCGTTCATTCAACAGACCTACTGCCACTTCTAAAGCTGTTCATTCGTTCATTCAACAGACCTACTGCCACTTCTAAAGCTGTTCATTCGTTCATTCAACAGACCTACTGCCACTTCTAAAGCTGTTCATTCGTTCATTCAACAGACCTACTGGCCACTTCTAAAACTGTTCATTCGTTCATTCAACAGACCTACTGCCACTTCTAAAGCTGTTCATTCGTTCATTCAACAGACCTACTGCCACTTCTAAAGCTGTTCATTCGTTCATTCAACAGACCTACTGCCACTTCTAAAGCTGTTCATTCGTTCATTCAACAGACCTACTGCCACTTCTAAAGCTGTTCATTCGTTCATTCAACAGACCTACTGCCACTTCTAAAGCTGTTCATTCTTCATTCAACAGACCTACTGCCACTTCTAAAACTGTTCATTCGTTCATTCAACAGACCTACTGCCACTTCTAAAGCTGTTCATTCGTTCATTCAACAGACCTACTGCCACTTCTAAAGCTGTTCATTCGTTCATTCAACAGACCTACTGCCACTTCTAAAGCTGTTCATTCGTTCATTCAACAGACCTACTGCCACTTCTAAAGCTGTTCATTCGTTCATTCAACAGACCTACTGCCACTTCTAAAGCTGTTCATTCGTTCATTCAACAGACCTACTGCCACTTCTAAAACTGTTCATTCGTTCATTCAACAGACCTACTGCCACTTCTAAAACTGTTCATTCGTTCATTCAACAGACCTACTGCCACTTCTAAAACTGTTCATTCGTTCATTCAACAGACCTACTGCCACTTCTAAAACTGTTCATTCGTTCATTCAACAGACCTACTGCCACTTCTAAAACTGTTCATTTCATTCGTTCATTCAACAGACCTACTGCCACTTCTAAAACTGTTCATTCGTTCATTCAACAGACCTACTGCCACTTCTAAAACTGTTCATTCGTTCATTCAACAGACCTACTGCCACTTCTAAAACTGTTCATTCGTTCATTCAACAGACCTACTGCCACTTCTAAAACTGTTCATTCGTTCATTCATCAACAGACCTACTGCCACTTCTAAAACTGTTCATTCGTTCATTCAACACTGCCACTTCTAAAGCTGCTTCCACTTCTAAAGCCACTTCTAAAGCTGTTCATTCGTTCATTCAACAGACCTACTGCCACTTCTAAAACTGTTCATTCGTTCATTCAACAGACCTACTGCCACTTCTAAAGCTGTTCATTCGTTCATTCAACAGACCTACTGCCACTTCTAAAGCTGTTCATTCTCCTACTGTTCTAAAGCTGTTCATTCGTTCATTCAACAGACCTACTGCCACTTCTAAAGCTGTTCATTCGTTCATTCAACAGACCTACGCCACTTCTAAAACTGTTCATTCGTTCATTCAACAGACCTACTGCCACTTCTAAAAACTGTTCATTCGTTCATTCAACAGACCTACTGCCACTTCTAAAACTGTTCATTCGTTCATTCAACAGACCTACTGCCACTTCTAAAACTGTTCATTCGTTCATTCAACAGACCTACTGCCACTTCTAAAACTGTTCATTCGTTCATTCAACAGACCTACTGCCACTTCTAAAGCTGTTCATTCGTTCATTCAACAGACCTACTGCCACTTCTAAAGCTGTTCATTCGTTCATTCAACAGACCTACTGCCACTTCTAAAACTGTTCATTCGTTCATTCAACAGATCTACTGCCACTTCAAAGACCCGAACACCACCCTCGAGGAGCTGGACATGCTGGACGCGGACATCACGCTGGACATCGCGGCGCTCTGCCTCATCTTCTTCGTGCTGAGAATCTCCGCCTTCCTCTTCCTGCGCTGGAAGCTGCGTGCCGCCAGATAGGAGCTCTATGTCCTTGCCGTTAGGGTCTAGATTAGTTTAAACGCGAACATAGCGGTCCCGCTAATATCCATTGAGCTAGCCTGACGGCCGGTTTCGATATTATATATATACAGGGTGATTTTTTAGACGAAGTATATACTTTGACATAATGTTAATTGAGCATTCCGTAACTGAAAAATGTTAATATTTTATTTTGACAAGAAATAACCAGAAAAATATCAATTCAAACATTGTTTGTTTATCCCGTTAAGAGTGGTCACCCTGTTGATAAGCGGTTTAGTAATTATGCGTTCAGCGGACAGTTTTAGTGCTCGTGAATAGGTTATTATATTGAGACGGTAAGGCAGGAATTTTTAACAGGGTGTCCATAATGTCTGAAAAATTAAAATTAATATTTAAAAAAAATTAGGTCACAAGTACGTACCAGATCTAGGTTTAGAATCAAATTCTGTACATGCTCTGTTAATATGTCCGTCGTCTATAAAATCACCCTGTAGATAGATTCGGTTACTGAAAATATAATTTTGACGTAATACCTATCGCCAGTAGCCGAATCGATCTGTAGATGAATATTGAAACCGGCCGTGAGTCGCGGAACGCAGTCATTGTGATAGTGGGTGTATGATATCGAATATAAGTTATGTAAGGATTATAACGTGTCGCCGACGCCCATTTTCAACCAAAAAAGAAAAAATTGCTGCCGCGTGGACGCGATCATAGTTTGCTTGGATAAAATACATCAATACTGTGCGTCAGCTGTCATATTTTGACAGCTGTCAACGTCATGTGACAGTCGAAATACTTCACAAAGTTCGCTTTGGTTCTCACAAGGGGATCGCCTATACGATTGAGTGTAGAGATACGGAGTAGTATCTCAATATATAGAAAGTGTCCATAAAATAGGAAAAACTAAGGTGCGATTGAACATTTAAACTTTTACTTCGGCAGATTTAGAACGATTTAAGTATGATTTTGCTAAAAACATGTGCTCATTTACATTATGCTAGTTACCTTATATTCTGACGAATCTTTGAAAGCTGCGAGGCTAACAACAAAACTTCACTAAAATAAAACAATTTCCTTGGCCACAATTCATTTTGTCTACTACCGGTAACTTACATCTCTTATTCAATATTAGCGTCATTCTTGTCATTTACCACCCAATGTACAATACGTATACAGTTTTGTGGACATTTCCTCACAACCACATTATGCGGTACTATTCCTAATATACTAAACTCCATAGGCATCAAACTAAAGGCGACCACTGTCAAATCTGTCGCATCTTACACCTTTCTACCTGCATAGAATTAGGAAATAAGCTAGGAGTGAGTTATACTAGGTAAACTACTTTTGAAACACACTGTATATAGCTGTTACCATCGAGTAATCTATATACAGTGACGGCCTCTTTCGTTAGTTGTTTATCTGTGTAAATCCGATCACAGTAATAGGACAAGGAACTGTCATTGCTGCATGCCCTTACTTTTCTTTCTAACAAAGCTGTATGACCTATGCAACAAAAAGCTTCCTTAGTTTGGGACTAGAAAATGTTGTGTACAAATGTGTCCTAAATATTAAAAAAAAAAAAGAAATAGCTTGTGACAGACATAACAGAATTTTCAGTAACAACTATGACAGAGTGTAACAGTTTTTATCCCTTTCTAACAAAGGTAACAAGAACAAGAGCTTGTGACAGCGCGTTAAGGAACTTTGTGTGGAACAAGAACTGTTATTTGAGTTAGTTCGAAACAGGGCGTTTGTTATCTTGAGATACCTGTTATATTTATTTATTACGATAAACACGTCTCACTTCTAGAAATAACCAACCATACTTTGTTAGGTGTTTAAATACTGTTCAAATAGACTTTAATAAAAGCGTTGTCGGTCAAATTACTGTTCAAATACGTTTTGTGCCAAGAAAACTATGATCGTGACGTTCACGTCGTCCGCCATCTTGTCGATGACGTGGCAGACTTGTATATACAGATTTGACAGATATGTCAAATGGTGACAGTTCAGATTAATTAGTGAATGTTAACAAATTAGATTAATAATAAATTCACTTGATGCCTTTTATTATTAGGTGGATTGGTCGCATACATCGTTAGTACGTTTCTAATAGATTGTATAATAGAGACTGCTCTGTGATTTGAGGTGCCTTCGTATAAGCGCGCCTTATAGCTCGCTCACGTAAACTTGGGTGATCTGAATTTAAATTGTTACTAGATGAGATTTCTTTTTAAATGCGAGCCAGTATCTCTATTATGTCTAAAGTTACGCGTTAATATTTTAAAGAGGTTTTATATTATTCTGTTATGGCAACCTTTGTTAACTTTTGCCGTGTAATTAGTGCCTTAAATCATTTGAAAGCCAAGGAGTGCTCAAAAAGATATGGATTCTCTCAAAACTTTCATATTTTTTATGTGTTATGTTATGAATTGGCTTTTTTTATCAATATAACGAGTTAAAACAGCTTTCGTTTCAAAGATAATATTCAATAGTATTTTCGATACGTTAGCAAATGTCTACTGAAATACGTATTAATTGAAACAAACAATGTGATCTTTCGTATATATACGAAAGATCACATTGTTTAGGTTATAAATTTTATATAATAAGCGGTCAATGATTGCGTCGTTACTGTATTTTAACGCGACTTATAATTGTTTGTATTTCGCATTTAATCTTCGTCGCGTATTCGCTTTTCGATCTAAAGTTTTCATTCCTAGCATTTGTAATCATAATGTTGCCAATAATACTATTATTATACACGAATTTTGATAAAGTTGAGAAAACACTTCTTGCCATATTGGCTTGCCTTGTGTATACGCAGTGGAAAACCAATTGCGACTGAGCGTCGAGTTCTTTGTCATTTCAGGTCAATTCGGTGACAAGCTCGCTATCAAAAAAGAAATTAAGACCGAAATGTATAGTTTATTGTAAAAAATTACGTATAACATCGTAAGATTTATTCCAGGTGCTCTTAACTTTTGTCTAAATAATCTTGGTCTACGGCCGCACTCAGAGACAAATGAGACTTAAATAGCATTAGATTGGTTCGCTTACGTAGTTCCCTCTGAAATTGGTTCTTCACAATAAGAGAGTTAAATCTTATTTAAGCGTTAAAAACCAAGATCCTATCATGTTTAACAGACTTCAAAAAAGTAGGATGTTCTCAATTCGAGTGTATTTTTTTTAATGTTTGTTACCTCAGAACACTCGACTGAGTGCCCGATTTTGATGATTCTTTTTTTATTTGAAAGCTGGTGCTTCCCATGTGATCCCATATCATTGGTATTGTTTTATCTTAGGCTCCGGAGATATTTAGGAAACTCATAAAAAATATATTATAAGATGCATACAGAGCGAGGTATTTGAAGTCTGTTTTGTTTTTCGTCAATAGTGATGTACTTGTTTTTCAACTCTCCCTGGATGAAGCCATTTCGTTAAATTAGAATGCCATCTGACTGTTCAAGTGAATTTGAACTTAATTCATTACTCAGATAAACTTGCCTGTTTAAGAGTACTCTTATACTGGAACCCGGTTTTATTAATAAGAGGATAACATGAATTGATTTAGTATCATTATTCTGAGTGTGGGCGTTAGTGTGCTTAAAAAATGTTATAAAATGTGGACATGACGTTCTGCTGTCTAATTTGTAAAAATAATTCATAGCACATGTATGAGTTACTCTCTGTACAGAGGAGGCCTTTGCCCAGCAGTGGGACAGATACAGGCTTTACCTTACTTTAGTTTTTTTTACGAGTATGAGTTCGGGATCAAGGTGTTATTATTTGTACTTAGTTTTATAATAGTATAGAGAAATATAATGGTCCAATTATGTATGGTTAGATTAACTGGTAACTATATATTATGTTTTCTATATTTTTTAAATAAACGATTTATAAATTTGAGTGTAGTTTTATTGGATATTAGGAACTGGTGTGAGTATAAGCTTGCTTCGCTGCATTACACAGTAACCTATATTATAAACTTTATATTATACTATATGAAACAAAAAAATCTTGTCTGTTTATCCATTGCTTTGTCGAAGCTGTTTGTTAATGTACAAACGAGAGATATTTTAGAAGTCGTCCAAAAATTTTAAATTGGTGTGAATGTCTGTTTAAACAAGATTTTACTGTTTTAACAAAGTAAACTTTCTTACTTTTAATATTAGCGCGATAAGTATTCAAAAAATAAAATAAAAATGGTACCAAAAAACTTAACGCAGAAAATATTTTAAATGAAATGAAATAATAACAGGCTAGTAAAACTTTAACACATAACAGGCAAATAAAAAAAATTATATGTAGGTTAATAAAACTAAATAAAATTGTATGATATTTTTTCACATAAATTATCATCAGAATGTTAATAATAATTAAAATTAAAAAATATTAATTTACACTAAACAAATTTTGTAAGTAATATTAACTATTTTACAGCAGCACAATAAACATATTATATAAACACAGTATAAAAATAATTACAATAAAGTTGCAAGGTGCAGAAACAACACTAATTAAATTAAAAAGTAAGCAAATAACGTCTAAAAATGTTTCAAGCTACAAATAATTTTAAAATATTGCAATAATTTAATCTAAAAAAAACAAGATTGTCTTCGGATAAAACTTGAGACGCGGTAGCTTCTTTTGCAGAAAAGGGCAGGACCGTATGTGTTTCAGTTCAACCTTTCAGTTTTCATCTGGTGAAGGTAATTGGGGTCCACTTTATACAAGTTGGCAACACATCTCCAACCGCTTAGCTGTTGCAGATACCTATAAGTGGTAATCACTTATCATCACCTGCTTGCCTGCAAACTTTCCACAATAAAAGACATGTTTTTGAAGTCTATATACCCGTATAAAAGGTATGCACTAGATTAACAGACTTCAAATTTTTTTGTCTCCCATTTTGCTATTAGGGATCTAATAATTGATTGAAATGACATTTATCTATCCGAAATATATTCGCTTAAATATATTGCCCTATTTAAATAAATAGAAATGTAGCTCTACAGACTCAAAGCGAAATGAGATAAAACGAAAAACACGCGAATTGCACCTATTCTCTGCCAATCAGTTATCCATAGACAATTTCTGAAGGCGTCATGAAATTGCACCCAATTTATTCGAAGATGTCCATAATAGGTCCCGCCTACGCCACCTACAGCCGAGCCACGTTGGCGAATTCACCGAAACTATATCTATTTATAGCAGAGTTCCCCAAACTTTTTTGTGTCGTAGACCCGTTGCCATGTTTTTCCGTGTTGGGTAGACCCCTGATTATATACTTACCTGATATTGATTTCCTGTAAATTTCTAACTGTAGTGAAGTTTAGTGTTAAAAACTTAAAGTAAAAACACATATTAATTAATACATTTATTAATTGAATTTAAATTAAAACTACTCAAAGTAAAATTTTGTATCTGTTATTTAATGTTGTAAAATAAATATTTTTTAAAATATTTTCTTAGCACTTTCCTGTTCATGATTCAGGAAACAAATAAACGTCTTTTTGTCAAACATTCGTATTTATAGAGTGACGAATTGAACAAGTCAGTGCAAGGTAGCGAAGCCCTGAGACTGCGACACTCAGGTTTTTACAAGTTCAAAATGTATTGCGACCACAAAGCGAATACCAACATCCTACAACTTACACAATTTTATAAACATATATAATATTTTTTTTTACTTCATAGGTACTTTTATAAACAATGTATATGTTTTGATATTATAAGATAGTATGATGTAAGTAAATAGGTACTATCAGTGTATGTGTTGAGATCCACTATCGTGGACCCCCATTTTCATTTCATGGACCCCCAAATTTTTTTTCGCTGACGTAGACCCCTTGTAGGTTGTCATAGACCCCTAGGGGTCGACATAGACCACTTTGGGAATCACTGATTTATAGTCATCGCATATTTTATGTGAAAAGTTGCCAAGCGAGCAGACGGTTCACCTGATGGTAAGTGAATACCGCCGCCGCGCTCGTTTGGCAACTTTTCACATAAAAAAAAAAGTGAATACCGCCACCCATGGACATCTGCTACACCCGAGGGTTCCAGATGCGTTGACAACCTTTTGAAAATTGGGCTCCGGCCACCTCACTCACCAGACGAAACGCGAAAGTATTATATATTTCCACTTTCACGCCGGTCTTCTGTGAGATCGTGGTACTTACCACGCAACAGCCGAGGCTGCTGCGTGGCCCTACCACCGTAGTCATCGTATGTCATCGCATGTTCTTTAAATTAAAATAAAATATTTCACTTTAAATTTCTAGTGCTCTTACTGAAATATTCAGGTATAAATTATAATTTACCTAAAATTTTCTCTAGCAATAAGCAGACTGCCGATAGGCTATAACCAACGGCAAGAATATGCCAAACGAATATGTTATCATTATTACGTCCAGGAATAGAATAACCTGTTTTCCTGTATTTGCTATAGAAATCATCCAGATACTTGTCAACTAGACCACTCTCCTTGATTCGCAGAGTGTGTAGGTGCAGTTTATCCAAAAGGGGGAAACCTTTGTCCAAATAAATTGCATAGATAATTTTACTATACGGTTCCTTGAACGGATAGAGCAGGTCGCCCCGCATGTCCCGAAATCTTCAACTACTCTGTAAGTACAATGAGTACAGAACAATCGTGTATACATCGTAACTTTCGCTCACCCGTTTCATGCATTCCAGCTGTATGTCACATTCGTTTTCAACTGTTTCTTTAGATTGTTCCATTTCACCGTTCAGCTGGTTGAGGAATCGACTTAAGTAGGGTTTGACATTAAATGCCACAAGGTCGTTCTCGCTCGTAACTTGATCCATCGTACTAGGATGTGCCATCAGACTGGTCAAGCTAGACTGGTAGTACGTGCTTATCAGATAAGCGAATATAATCCAGACAATAAGAATCGACCGCGCCTTTGTTTTACCGCCCAATTTACTCCCGTGCAAAAACAGATAGTCCATCATCATCAACGCCACTAGCCCCCTCTGTTTCCGACGAAAAAACAACAATACTAATTTAACAAACACCAAATACGTAACGAGGATCATGACCCAGACGATGGAATCGAATTCCAAATAAATAACCTTCCAACGCGGCACGACGTCTGCTCTCTTCACGACGATCTTGAATTCGTCGGAGAAGGTAATGTGACCCCAAAGATAGCTGAACGCCTTCGCTCGTTGTTCCAACAGCAACATCGCTCCGAGTATGATGTCTACTTGACGTTCCTGAACCAGCCTCATAGGCCCTTGCACTGACAAGTTGCTATCGACGACGGAGAGCTCTTCGGCGTTGTCGTAACTGATGTAGGTGATTTCAAACTGCTCCAACTGCGCCAAAGTTTCCACGATGAACTGCTCCACTCCCAACTTTTCCATGTCCCTCTTTACTCTCTCAACGGTCGACGTGAAAGGCGGCGAATCCGAAACCATCACTTTGAATGTGCAGTTCTTCAGTCCACTAGAAAACCGCTGTGGATACATTATGTCTGCTTCAAAACACTTTCCGCATGATATTATTCGCTTGAGGCTTCTACCGCACGCGTTGTTTTCAAACGGCTCATACGTGTATAAATCTGGATTGGCCGTCCCGTTTATAATATAAACGTCCGTTACACGATAATGCAGCAACTGCTCGAAGATTTTATTGAGCGAATTCGCATATACAGATAATATAAGTACAAACTTTGCATCCGGCCTCCATCCAGCTTCGTGTTTCAATTTATTTAGTATTACTTCCAAAATATAATCATCTGCACCAGAAATAACATAAAGGTCGTTCCCAGTTTTTTGATCGTTTGAATTTATCGTACGCGACACAACCGTTACTGCGTTCATGTCATTTATAGACTTTATCATGTAAGTGTCATCATAATCATTTCCGATATACGTAACTTGCGAACCTTTCATCGACGATGAGATTATTTTGCCAACGCATATATTTACATCGTGATTTACTTCTGTATACGAGTACGTAAGTTTACAGTGGCCTGTGGTAAAAAAATGTTGAAGGGTAAATAATAGCGCGACTAGCATTCTTGATATCGAGAAATTCGATGCAACTTTCATTATAGCTAGAGCTCTTCAGCATTTAGTTCGCACTACTATAATTAACATCGCACAACAAATTGTTCCCGTTGAAAATGCCATTAAAATCATTGCCCAATTAAATAAAACTTCCGTAGATTAATTTAGTCGAGATTTTTGTTTAGTTTACTCTTGCAAACCAATTAATTATATATAAACCATTATCAATTTTTTTTAGTTACCATCATACATTACCATCTATTTATTTAAGTTCTACGCATTAAACAAATACTTAATAAGATGCATAAACTATCGAGAAAGAATTTTAATAACAGAAATTAATGACATATTTCATTTTAATTCAGATACTGTCAGAGAGTGAATTCGGGAGCGAAGGCTAGTCAACGGTTAATCACTTACATTCACAACTTGTAAAATAGCAATTTAAAAAGCAATCTGCTTAATGTGAAAAAGTTATTCGATATTGTAACCATCAATTACGCCGCGTTTTATAACATGTCACTATCGCATCGATGTATCGTAGATACGCAAAAACATCAGCTACACACATAATATGAAAACACATATCATCTTCATGGTTATATAATAGATATATTTTTTTGATCCTATTTAAAAAAATGTATTATTTTCAGAATTAAGTTATATTTATATTTTTAGTATGATTTCGATTACATGTTAGATCTACAGGTTTTGCTTAACTAATTCGGCACATTCTCGTTAGACAAACAGAAGAAATATTATATTTTGTTGGTACAAAGTAATCAAACATAAAAAGGCATAAGAACCAGACTTAATCAACTATGCTCATGAGATAGTTAAAATATGCTTATTTTTTTTTTATTTTTGTGTGAGGAAGTGGCAAACGAGCTGGCGGTTCACCTGATGTTAAGTGATAACCGCCTGCCCATGGACATTTGCAACACTCGTAGGGTTGCAGATGCGTTGCCACCTCTTAATAATGTGGGCCCCCGGCTACCTCACTCACCAGACGAAACGCAGAAGTGCAACACTTCTACTTTACGCCGGTCTTCTGTGAGGTCGTGGTACTAACCCGGACGGACCTGCCCATTCGTGCAACAGCAAACACTGTTGCGTGGCCCTACCACCGTTATATTAAACATAATGACACTTTCAACCAAAACACATTTTCACTAGTCCAATCAACTCTTCCAGAGATTATTACGACCAGTTTAATAACTGCGTTTAGTTTTATTTTAACTTCCATATAATACGAACGATTGAATTTCGAGTTAAGGGTCATTGACCATAATTTCAAATGAATTGAATGAACATCCACCAATGAACTTTGCCAATGAATAATTACAGGTCATTAGCGTTTGCCCAAGATAAGTTCAATGAAACCTGTGAAATACTTTTGTCAAAACTGAAATTGACCCAATCATTTTCCTCGTTTTCAAAACGTAAATACACGCTTGTTTATTTTTTATTAATTCTTTTCTTTTTATTATTTTTTTATTAACAGTTATTATAAATTCATAACTTACGAATTACATAATAAACTATTCACTAATTCACTGGTCTTTTGGGTGTCTTTTTATGTACTTGGACCTTCTGCATTGGTTCCTGAACGTTCTGGCTCATTCATACAATTACAGAAGTTGCAGTTTGCAGTGGCGTGCACAGAGATTTTCGTCAGGCTATGCACTAAAAAAGAACTTACCAATTCCTCTAAGTGATTGATGATAACATAACAGGTCACTTAAATGATAAACGAAGTGGTCTTCGAAATACTGAGATATGTCAATGTGTTTTTAGTCTTTGATGATTTGATTGATTAAAGTGTACTTGCATGAAATAAATTAAGAATAATATTTTAAAAAGCACTGCATCGCAAGTCACGCTAGTTGCGTAATATAACATTATTGTCTTTAAATGTACGTTACCGAAGTTTTAAGAAATATTAAATTTTACTAAACATATATGGTCTAAGCGTTTAAAGCGGGAAAGACCAAGGTTCGTCGGTCGGTCGTTCTGAGTTATTTACCTACTTAATCGATTCTAGATTGCTAGGAAACAAATTACGAGCCAATTTTAATAATTACTTCTATACAAGAATGAACTATGCCATTAAAAAAATAGTGCCTCGCGACTGACGAGTCACTTTGTATATCAACTTGTAACTATGTATATCAACTTATAATTACTGACTTTTAATTATGCTATGCGCAAATATTTGCGTTGGTCTAAATTATTCAAAGAGCTGAGATGTACGGATAGCAAATTATTATTGTATTAATTAGTTCAAGATACGCTCTTAGAGCCGTGATAACTCAGAGTTGAGCTTAGTGTCCGGGCGCTCGCCTTTAATTCAATATACTCGAGCAACCTGAGTTCCATCCCCGGTGCCGGCACCGATGAAATTGTTAATTTTAAGTGCTGTATTTTCACGTGCTCAGCGGTGAGGGAAAACATTGTGAGGAAATCTGCATATTTTCGAAATAATAATGACAAAAAAAATATTTCGAAGATATGTGAAGTCCGCTAATTCGTAGTGGGGCCGCGTGGTGGACTTTGCCCTGATACCCTCTGTACAAAGGAGGCCTTTACTTTACTTTTTTACGTTTTCACCGCCGTCTGTGTCGTCTGTGGTCCTACCCAGGTCGAGCCTGCCCATTCGCACAGCAGTTTTTAACAGAGTAAAAACCTGGGCGTGTTTTTGAAGGCGACTAACTTGTATTAATTTTGGTTATTTACGGTTTGAATATTCGTGGTAGGGCCACTTAACACGACGTTGCACGATCTCACTGAATAAACGGACTATACTTCTGCGTTTCGTCTGCTGAGTGAGGTAGCCGGGGTCCGCTGCGTTGTCAGCTTCGGGGCGTAGATGCGTACGTAGTATGTAGTATGTTGAAATTTAGTCGGTTTTGGAATAGCGCCACTTCGTACAGGGAAACCTTACTTTCCTTCCATCCAGGACGCCCTTCCTCTATATCCCATAAAAAACAAACGTAATTAATTTTACTTAAACCCGTGTTTGAGTAACAAATTCTGTTGATTGAAATCTTTATCACAACCCCACACAATTGGAATGAGGTAGTTACATTCAGGAAGTAATCGAGGTTTAAATAAAAGCGGCGTGCATGAAGCCATTGCAAAAAGCAAACATATAAAATGTTCACTTTGCATTTGCAATGCACTTGTCGCATAATTATAATAAGAAAAAAAAAACCTGAATAACACACGTCGTTCTCACCTTTTAAATGATTTAAAAGTAAAAGAAAAACGTAATAGCCTATATCATGTGTTCCTATGATGGGCTTCCTCTGTACAGAAGGTATTATAGGTCAGGTACAATCCACCACGCGATCCCATTGCGATTGGCAATTTTCACATATCTTCGAAAAATTTATTTTCTGTTATTGTTCACCGCTAAGCTCGTGATAATCCAGAGGTAACAATTTATGTGATGGATTAAATTGTTGGTCGAAAATGGTCCACCTGGATTTGAAGCGAACACCGGGACACTGAGCTACCAAGGCACAAAGTATAATTTAAAGAAGCAATCAAAGTATATTATCAAGTATATTTGAAGTGATATGTGCTTTGGAAAGATAAAATGGTTGCTCCTTCGCAACAGAGTTCACCGTGATGAAGCAACGTCTCGATATCTGGCGTTTGTATGAATCGCTTTCGAACTGGTTCAGACCACGATGATGACGTATCAGATCATCATGGTACGTTCATGTTTTGTATTTGTTTCCGATACCGACCTAATGGTAATTTAATTGTGGAGGTAAAGTATCGCTGTAAAATCCTCAAAGATAAATATGCTAATTGTGTTCGAACGGACCGTGGCACGCCGGATTTTAAACTCTTTTTGCATTTGTTCGTTCAGAGAAATATTAATTTAATTACCACCATTTTAAATAATGAATTGCATTGCAGTGAAAACATTGCATTTTTTTTGCTTTTTCGCTAAGGTACCTACTGCCTTGTTGTTACGCAAATTTGAATAATGTTTTTTTTAAGTTTTTCTTCGTCTGCGAAGGCATTTTTTTCTTCATAAATCAACCTTACCGCTTGCGCAGTTTCGAGTTTACATAGAAGAAGTCAAAAGTCAATTTTTTTGTTGTATGAACGATTATTTGAATTGACAATGTTCGTGCTGAAGTACGTAAACCTTCGCTCCGAAGTTATTGCTGAAAAGGAAGTAAATCATTGTGACATTTGTGACATTGATGACTCCGTGGCGCAGTTGCCGAGGTATCGGCTTCGGCGTCGCGGGTCGTGGGCTCGATTCCCACACGGGACAACTATTTGTGTGACCCACGGGTAGTTGTTTCGCATCTAGCTGTTTGTCCGCGTGAAATTTATGCTTGTAAAACGTCCCTACAACACAGGATAATGTTATCCTAGAGTAAGGGCAATGTTAAAAAAAAAAAAAGAAAGAAAGAAAAGAAGAAAGACATTTT